AATAGGTGCGACACCCGGAATCAAATCGATCCGGAATTCCACCTGCCTCTCGAGAGGCACACCCGGTAACTCGTTGGGAAAAACATCCAGGAACTCGCACACTATCGGAACCTCAGAGATAGAACTTGGCCTCTCAATGGCAACCCTCGTATCCATCACATATGCTAAAAAGCCCATGCATCCCTGCCGTAAACTCTGTCTCGCCCTGGCAGCAGAACAGAAAGCTGACCCAGATCTGGTCCCCTCGCCATGCACTGTAAGTACTCCCCCACTAGGGTCTAGTATGGTCACCATCTTACGCTCACAGTAAATCACAGCTCCAAACCGGCTCAACCAATCCATGCCCACTATGACACATACATCACCCATCGCTATCGGCACCAGATCTATCAGGAACTCAACACCAAAAATCTCTAATACGCACCCCTGGAACACATCAGTGGCAAAAACCGCATGCTCGTCGGCTATAGAAACCCTTAGAGGCCGAGTCAACTCCTCACGTCTGACGCTAATGTGATGACTAAAAGACAAAGATACGAAGGATCGACTCGCACCCGAGTCAAATAACACAAAAGCAGGCACAAAACCCACAAGAAAAGTACCTATATATAACACAGTATAAGCAATAACAAATCTCAAAATAACAGGAATAAGGAAATACATACCAGCGGACCTCCTCCACTATCAGCTGAAAAGATCTCCCATGAGCTCTCGGGGTCTCGGCCTTCACCGGCCGACTATCATTAGCACGTACAGTAGCAGGAGCAGAACCCTAAGCTGATCCCTGAGTGAGATGAGGGCACTCGGCCTTCCGATGGCCGGTCTGGTTGCAGTGAAAGCAAACGGAAAATCCCTTGGGTCAGTCCTTCGCCATATGTCCCTCTTTGCCACACTTGTAGCAAATCCCTGCCCAACATGATCCCTCATGACTCTTGCCGCACTTGCCACAAGTGTGGCCCTTCTGGCCCCCAACTCTCGTATCAGCGGCCTTAGCCCGCTTCGTCGTCGGCTGCGACTGCAATGGTCTCTGGTCCCTCCCCTGAGACTCTCCCTCCTCTCTAGCTTGTAGCTTTAGCTCAATCTCCCTCCTCCTGGCATTGTTCTGAAGCTCAGCCAATGTTTTGTATGACGAGTTCGCCACGAACTCCCGTATATCCCTCCTCAATATGCTTAGATATCGGCTCACACGTGCCTGCTCAGTAGACACGTGCTCAAGGCAAAATAGTGCCCTCTCATGAAACATCCTCGAAATCTCTGTCACAGTTTCTGTCTTCTGCTTAAGAGACATAAACTCATGGGCTAATCGTTCCCTCTCCACCTGGGGAACATACTCATCTCGGAACAATCGTGTGAACCTCTCCCATGTCACTGCAGCATGATCTGCAGGAGTAAAGCTAGCAGTCACGAACTTCCACCCGTTCTCCGCTCCCAAGCGAAGCTGGTTCAGCGCATACCGAACTCTCAGGTGCTCTGGGCATGAACACGTATAGAAACACCCCTCAATGCCATAGATGCATCTCATGGCAACAATCGGGTCCTGTATCCCATCAAACTCTGGTGGCTTCGTGTTGCTGAACTCTCGGAACAACATCGAGTCACCTCCCTGTGGTCTAGCGGTAGCCAAAGCTGCGGTGCCTGCAGTAGCAGCAGCCTCAGTAACAACAGCGTATCTCTCATTGACTGTCTCAATCAACATGGTCTTAATAGACCCACACATCTCTGGTATAGCCTCCCTGATAGTTGCGGCCACCTCCTCATGTATGATCCTACGGATCTCCTCGTCACTGGTCCCACTACTCCCGCGGTTGTGGCGTGTAACCACCATAATGTCTCTGAAACACAACACGAAAATCATCAGAGACTAGCTCAAGCATACACACACTCGATTACCCGACTCTACATGCTCCTTAGCATCCTAAGGATTCTTACTTGGGTCGCATACAGATCCGGTGCTTTCAGTACTATGGGTCCAATACTACCTTCCACACCAACCCGCAGTCGTCCCAAGTCCTCATCCTAGGATCCTAATTCATAGTACTCTATCCCTCACTGATCTCAAACTACTCTCTCGGTAGATTCCTCAATGCACTTCTAGGTATCTCTCCTATATTGCTCAAAGCTCTCCCTAAAGATTCTTGTTATGTTTCTCCTTACTAAGATCAATTAGCAGAGAAGATCACTCAATAGCATAACCTAGGCTAAGGCATCATGAATCAGGCAACTCTAGTCCTAATTTATGAAATACCTAACCTATCCCCTAGCATGCAACTGTAATGTCTCATAAGTATCTTGTAACATAGCAAGTGATGGTATTTTGGGAAATCACCGTTCGGGCTCTGGCTGATTATATACACTGCTCCGTCTCGTTTTCTCTTTAAAACTCATACTCAATTTTAGAAAAATCATCTCTTTTCAGAAAAATCGTCTCAAGCCTTTAGTTTGAGTCCAGACATACCCGAGGGTACGTCTGAATCCCTCAAACCAAGGCTCTGATACCAACTTGTAACACCATAAATTTTCAAACAAAATTTTCATTTTCAAAATCACATAATTCTTAATATCATATCTCAAAAACCCCCAAATTGTCAAAATGTCAAAAACCCAAATTCATAAATTGTTTGATAAAATTCAGGTCCTCAAAACATAAACTCCATCTCGTGTGTACAATCAAGCCGGCGCCTTCCCGCGATCCTGAGAAGTACCTGGAACACATATCATATAACACGGTAAGCACAAAGCTTAGTGAGTTCCCCAAAATACCACACACATCTCATTAGCCTCTCATGGCTATATCTCGATAAAGACCCTCCGATCAATGTGTCTTAGTGGAGACCTTCCAATCCCACAACTCGGGTTGGACCCTCCGGTCCTAACTCAATAAAGCTCGGGATAATACACATCATAAATCACAAAGACATAATGCATGATATCATATAACTCAAAATAAGCATACAAGACCCTCTAGTTACACAATGTTACCACTCAGGCAAGTATAGTGAGAAGACTCACCTCGTAAGTAAGCAAGTAAGCCTCGTACCCCTCGAACAGTCTAATCTCCGCCTCCAAATTGAAGCTAGCACAGAGAAACACTTGATCCACAAGCCTCTTCTCGTTCCAAAGCTTGATGCTCTTCACACCTCTTCCAAATGTGCACTAAAACACCCAAAGTTAGCTTCTCTCTCTCTCTCTCTCACATAAATGGATACACACGTTAGGGTTTCTCACAGAGGGTTGGGATGATAAGGGAGGCGGAAATGAGGGCTTAAGGTCCTTTAAATAGGACACAAACCCTGAAAATTAGGGTTTTCTTACCCACCTCCTACTCGTCGAGTCAGGGACCTCTAACTCGTCGAGTAACTCTAAGAATTCCACGACCATTACACTCTCTACTCGGCGAGTTGGTGCTCCCAACTCGTCGAGTTGCCCTGCCAAAATGAATGAAATTAATTAAATAATATACCTGAGACTCGGGATGTTACACTTGTTTGAAATAATTTGGTAATTGGGTAATTATTCTTTATGGATCAATAAAACAAACTAGGATGAAACTATAATTGAATGATGTCTTGAAAGCATCCACTAAAATTTAACTACTATAAAATCCTCTTTATGGATCAATAAAACAAACTAGGATGAAACTTTAATTGAATTATGTTTTGAAAGCATCCACTAAAATTTATAAGTAGAAGTAAAGATATTATTTTAATATTGAAATTTAGTTTATATATGATTACACTTTAGGTTTGATATTTATTTAACCTTATTAACCAACTTATAATTATTATTAGAATATTTATTATTTTGATATAATAACATAAATTGATACTTAATTTTGTATTTTTTTTCTCAGCACCCATGTATTACAAGGGATACTATCATCGTTTATCAAAATACATTGTTATTTCGCGAGGACCCGTTCCAACATCGAACACTCGACAAAATCCGGAACCGGTAGAACCGGCGGTCCGGTTCGGTTCTTAGTTTCGGCCAAAGTCGGTTCCCGGGTTGGGTCCGAGTCAGGCCGGTTCGGTTCCTTTGCTCATCCCTATATAAAACCATCTAACTTGTTTTGTTTTTTAAGGTTTATTTTTATTACTAAAGCACAAATTATCATTTTTGAAATTACTATGATGTTTATTTATGAGTTGATGAAAACAAAATTAGTGCCAAATCTACAAGTGGATTTTTCAAGATTTCTTTATCCACCATGAATGTTAACGGAGAAAGAAACTGACTGACCTCTATAGCCATGAGAGTACTTGTCCTTTTTCCTCTTGAAAGCTGGTTTCAAAAAAAAAAAATACAAAACACACTAGGATGAAACTTTAATTGAATGATGTATTGCACTAAAATTTATAAGTAGAAGTAAATATATTATTTTAATATTAAAATTTAGTTTATATATGATTACACTTTAGGTTTGATATTTATTTAACATTATTAACCAACTTATAATCATTATTTGAAAGACACTACAATTTATCATTTTTAAATATTTACAAAATATTCTTTGGGTTGTTTAAGTTAATCTAAAATTTATATTCAAGTTGACCCTGTAATGTTATATTTAAATTAATTGTTGAAGTATTTTATACAAATTGTTCAAAAGTTAAAGTTGTAGTTTTAAAATGATAATGGTTTACATTCAACAATATATTAAAACTAATAAATTATATATACTATTAATCCTTAAAAACATGGTGAACAGGAAAGTTTCACGTTTCTCATTTCCGCCACACTTTTTCCTTCATTTGCTACTTTTGCCACACCCCTACTTTTGGCACACCAGTTGCTATTTAATAATTTGGCCAACCGACTATTTGCTTCTTTTCTATTCGCCGCTACTTTTATTTTTAATATATTTTTTTTACAGACCGCCTTGAAAATTTTGTGATAACGATCCTTCTTCTCTCTTTATCTCCACGAAAACCCATCGTTATCTTCTCTTCCTCAAAGCCTCCGGCGTTTTCCTTTCTTGCATCACCAGCCGTCTGCGAACCATGAGTCGCCCCTCTTCTCTGATTTTTCCTCTGATTTCGATTTTCCAGCACCAATATCACCGACCATCACTCATATCATCACTGGTACCATTGATTCTGCCGCCACCGACAGAGATGCTTCTTTTTGGGTTCTATTCAGCGAGGGTTGGTGTAGAACCGGATATGTCCTTTGATTTCGGTTGCCGTGATTACGCTCTGTGATGCTGATTGTGAATCGACATACTAGAAACTGAGAATCCTAGACCTCAAATTAGGTTTTTCTATTCCTGCCACCATCTTCTTTACAAGATTTGAGAAACATCAATACGTTTCTTTCATGGTGGGGTTTTCATGTCTTCCTTTTTTATGTTTTCATCACCAAATATTTTAGCTAACATGTTATTTATGATTTTTTTAAGGTTTTTATTGGATTTTTGTTGAAATAGGTAAAGGACGGACTGTATATGACATCTCATTTTCCAGGTTGCAGATTTGCAGTTGTCATTGAAAGAGGTTAGTCAAATATCACTCTGTTTTACAATTGATATTCGATTCGTTGAAGTGACTTTGAATGTGTTGTCGCCATCTGGTAAATCGTGTGCTTGGTCACCATCCGGTAAATATTTAGCAACTGCAAGTTTTGATGCCGCCACTGCTGTTTGGGAACAGAATGGAAGTGACTTTGAAGTCAGCCATCTAGAAACCCTCCACGCCGTTATCACCACCGATGCAACCATGGACCATGAGTTCATAACGTTTTCAACGTTACTGTTCTTTAAGCCCTATGCGCCCCTGTACGCAAGCAACGAATTCTAGCCCTAAGCATCACCGTTGCTCTCAATTTCAGGGCTTAAACCCCTCTCAGCGCTTCTGATTGGAGATGGAGGGTAGCGAAAACTGAACACAATTCAGTAGAAAATGTATTATTCAGGTTCTGCTATTGGGTAAACCTTCACCTACCGTCTTCTCCTTTCTTCTTCACCAGTACTAATATTTTTTATTTCGGCTTTCGAAGTATGTATACATCTATCTTTTCCTTAATTTTTTTTTCTTCAAAAAACTGGTACTGTAGGGCTTTTGAGTTCATATCCCACGAGTTAGGGACTTTTTGTATGTGCTTCTTGAAAGTAATCGTTTCTAAATACATGAAAATTTAAACAGAATTGTGTGACTTCTCAAGGAGATAGACCTGCTCAGGCATTGATGCTATGGAAGCTGCTTTACGGCAACAACTTGAAGAGTATTTGGGCACATTCATTTGAGGAATTAGAAGGTTCATCTTCAAATCTCAACCTCATCATTAAAGGTGTTCTTCCTTTGGTAACATCAGTCATCTTATTATCAACTTTTTTCTAGGTTTAAACAAATAAAAGGATGTTTCCTGATGGAAAAATGGTGGCTGTGAAGATTAGAAGGTCATCAACAGAAGCATGGAAAGATTATATTTATCACTTGCTTTCAATTTTGGGATCAAAGATTCCCACCAACAGCTTTTATGGTCTCCAGTACTATCCAGAGGTAAATGAATTAAATTCTTGGAAATTGTTTATGAATATTGCTCTTTTTTTAGTAATATTCAGAGGAAATAATCTCAGGGGATGTTATTGTTTCATTCATCATTTCTTTGTTGAATGTGATCTATGACAGAAAGATTTAAAAGTTGAAGCCGAAAAAACTCTACCCTTTTAGCCAGGTAATTTATATTTAACATCAATATGTTTTAGTTTTAGATAATAAAATAATATATTTTACATAATTCTTAAATCTTTTTGTTTCCTAATTTTATAGGTGGCAAATTAGTCATTCAGTTGGCTCAGAGTCTGCTTACAAACACATGGACACAGAGTGGAGTTCCTTTTATCCATCAGCAGCTTCAGCTAGAAAATAGGGTGAAAATAAAGGAAAAGAAAATGAAAATTTTCAAAGAGAAGAATGGTTTGGGCGTATGATGAGATTTAGAAATGATGCAATTATTATTTTGAGTATTATATGCCTTCAACTTCCATTTGAATTAGCATATGCACATTTGTGTGAAAGCATCGGATCTGCTGTGTTAAAGTAAGTCTTTTATTATTTTTTCCAATTTGGTTCATTTTCCATTTCTTGATTATAAGTGCAGTAAATAGCACTGTATTTTCAATTAACAGTTTTCCCCGGTTTTCTTAAATTTGTTTTTTTTTTCAAAAAAGAAACACCAACTACCAATGTACTTTGAATTTTATCTTGTCACTTGAAGAGTGAATTAGTCGAGTCCTGGAAAATAAGACATGGGTATGTAAGCAAAAAAGAAAACTATTTTTAAAGATGTATTTTCATTGAATCTTTTACATTTGTGATTACTTTTTAAATGATTTGCCAACGAATGGAGTTGTTATAATGTATCAAATTGTACACCATATTCTATTATGTTTTTATTTTCAGGTTTGGGCAGATGATGGTCATAGTGATGATTGGCGTTGTGTGCAGCCTTTAGGCGAATCAAACAGGTATCCAACACTCTTTCTGTTAACATTTTCGGGAATGCTAAAATTTAATGAATTAATAATTACAATGATTTTACATGCACGTATAGTAATATTTGATTACTAATATAATTATTTAAAATAATTTAAAATTAGTTTTGGTGACATTTGCAGTGATGATCTTACCATTAAGGTGTAGGATGTGGATATTATAAGTTCGCCATCTGGTGATGGCAATGCATCTTGGTAAGATAAGATGATTTCTTTTCCTTTTTTAAAAAAAAAAAAACTGATTTCCTGTTATGTATTTTGTTGAATAAAAATAACCATATATTAAAACTGTGTACTGTGTATGGGTTACATAATGGGATTGATTTTTGGTTGTTGAGGTGGATGGTGCTTTGTATAACTTGCTCCTCAAGAAGGAAAAAGCTCATGATATGGACATAAATTCGATGCAATGGAGCTCTACTGTAAGTCAAAAAATAGCAACGTACTTTTGTTTATTTGTTTATTACATTTATTGCAATATGCTTTCATTTCTTTATGCAGAAGCTGGTGTTCGATAACAACTACGAGACTTCAAAAATGCTGAAGGCCATGCAGGAAATGGAAAACAAATATGACGAACTTATCAACAATCTGAAAAAAGATATCAAAAACCTCCCTGAAGACAAACATCCGTACGTGTAATATGTTTGTTTGTTTTATAATCTTTTGATATGTTGCGTTCAACTACTTCCATTCCTAAATTTCTATATAAGACCTATCCAAAAATCTCCTGTATGTTAAATATATCTTCATCAATATAATGGTATGTTGCAGTACATACCTGAAAGAACAAAAAAAAATATGAATCAGAGCCAACGGGCGCACATGATTCCCATCTAGTTATGTATAATATGTTAAAAGTTAAAAAAACATAACTTTATAAGTAGAAGTAAAGATATTCTTTTAATACCGAAATTTAGTTTATATATGATTACACTTTACGTTTGATATTTATTTAACCTTATTAACCAATTATAATTATTATTAGAAAGAAATTGGAAAGTCATGGGAGTTTCAAATGAATGTGATGAAAGGAAAAATGCATGGGAGTTTCAAATGAATGTGGTGAAAGGAAAATGCTTCATTTATAATATAGTATGATATGATATTATATGATATGATGATATGTAGATGTAGATGTTAGGTGTCTATTGTGTTCATTTTGATTTGCATTTTTTTTTATTTTACACAAGATTAGCATGAAGAATGTAGACTATGGAGACTCTAAACTACCGACTTACATAATTGATCTAATAATGTTGAGTACTATAAAGCTCCTAAATATAATCGGTCATTGTTCATATGGTTAATTTACAATGGCAGTAGACATAATCCGCAAAGGCACAAAACGTTTATCGAATTGTTTCCTATATATCTATTTTGTTTTTATTGATTATAATGCTTTACTAAATAAGTGAACTCTTTTTATTGATATTATTATTATTAATAAATGTGGCTTATTGTTTAGATTGTGTAATTGGATTTCCAAAATAAATTTGGATACCCAATGTAGTATCCGAATTTGTATTCGGAATTTCGGACGGGTTCGGATATCGAAATTCACTATCCGAAAATTTTGGGTATCTGATTTTGAACATCTATACTTATGGGGCATGTATATATAGAAAATTAATATAAATAACACACAATTATATAAAGTTTATAAAAATTTACAAATTAAAATCAACTTCAAGATAATTATTTTGAATCAAAATCGCAACAAAATGGAAGTATGAGGATAGTCTGGGAATAAACTTGAAAACTGAACTTCGAATTTGGTGGTAAACTATATGATCAAAATTAATAGTCCTACATGTTTTTGAAGATGTCTACACTATCAACAATGTAAAACACCAAACTATAAGTTAAATTATAATTTAATATTTTTATTATTATAAAACATGTAAATTAACTTTTAAGTTTATTTTTATTTGCACAAAAAAATTAATCGCATCTACAAACTAATTTTAGAAAAAATTATTTACAACCGTCGCTTGACGCGGGTAACGGCTAATATATATATATATATATATATATATATATATATATATATATATATATATATATAACTCATGCTTCACATGGGGTAGAGGTGTTCTAAAGGTGGAAGTTTTTTTTTTTTTTTTTTTTTTGAAAGAATGCATATTTATGAAAATGAAGTTTTCTATTAATTTACCATATAAACTTATTTTACTTTCTATTATAAAAAGAATGAGGTAAGACAATTCATAAACTCATAACCATATCACAATGTAACTTATTTTACTTTCTATTACAAAAAAATGAGGTAAGACAATTGATAAACTTAAAAAAACACGATATCTAAAAGTATGTAGCCTCTAAAGTAGCTGACCTAAGACTATCGGTTTTCCACTTGCCTGAATCATTCGAAACTCAAGAAAATCATTTATGACTTATAAATAAATAGAGACGATATATTTTTATACATGAACCAAGTGTTCACCCTGAAAGAAAAAAATAAGCATGTATTTAGTTACTTATTTGAAAGCTAAGTAAATTTATAAATCAAAATGGAAATGAAATTACTTCTGATGGTTGTTGACATGTTAAGCACGTAATATGGACAGTTATACATAGATATTTCTTTTTTTACTTAATTTGATTATAATGAGTTAATAGATTAATCAAAAAAACATGGCTTAATGTATTAAGACACCAACATTTGTGTGTTTTCCGTTCTTACTTATTTGCTTGTATTAAGACACCAATATTGATAAATATTGTTCATATTATAATTATTGAGTATATTCCATAGACAATATAAAACTAGGGATGAGCATATGAACCGGGGAACCAGCCGGAACCGGTACCGGAACCGGAACGGAAACCCGATAGAACCGGTCGGGCCGGGACCGATACTATAATATTGTCAATTTTTGTAACCGGGAACCTGTATGAACCGGTCATTGGAACCGTCCCAAAACCGGGAACCGAACCGGACAATCTTTAAATTAAGTTAAATAAACTAGAAGGTTTCTATTTTTTTGTTACGATTTGCAGCTAAGTTTTTGTTTTTATTAAAAATTAGGTTACGATATATCTATGTCAAATATTCTTATCACTAATTGTGTTTTTTTCCTTCTCATGCACGATGCGATGGACACAAATTAAACCAACGTAGACCCAAATGGTGAGTTTAAGTTCTTAATCAAAATTGACTTATATATTAGAAATTAAACTAAAAATATTTATTATTTTGATATAATAACATAAATTGATACTTAATTTTGTTTTTTTTTCTCAGCACCCATGTATTACAAAGGTGCTGAGAAAATTATAATTTTTCGGCCAAAGTCGGTTCCCGGGTTGGGTCCGAGTCAGGCCAATTCGGTTCATTTGCTCATCCCTATATAAAACCATCTAACTTGTTTTGTTTTTTAAGGTTTATTTTTATTATTAAACCAAAAATTATCATTTTTGAAATTACAATGATGTTTATTTATGAGTTGATGAAAACAAAATTAGTGCTAAATCTAGCAAGTGGATTTTTCAAGATTTCTTTAATCCACCATGAATGTTAACGGAGAAAGAAACTGACCGGCCTCTATAGCCATGAGAGTACTTGTCCTTTTTCTTCTTGAAAGCTGATTTCAAAACCGACAAAAAGCAATCCCCAAAAAACAATATCGCTAACCCCCGATAACAATCGCCACCGTCGTCTAGGTATTATGTCGCCCACCTCCGCTACCTATCTCCATCAACATACCAAACCCAGAAACAAATTAATAAAACTTCAAGAAAAAAACAAAAATCTTGATACTATCAGATTATAGATTGTAGATCCCACTTTTGATTCTGTAAGTGTCGAGTGATTATTGATATGATTCTTTTTCAATTATTTTCAAAACACGATATTGGATTGAATAGATAGAGAGTTCCGATGCGATGATTTTACTTGGTCCGGGGACTCCGTTTGGGTAATATGTGTATCCGATGTAACACTTTTGGGGATAAATGCAATCAAAAAGTGAACTCCCGCACGCACTCCTTCCATATTCCGCTGCAGTTTTCATATAGTTCACACAATCCATGTTCGCCAAATAGCCTTCATACTGTCCCAAAAACAGAAACCGATTGATACTCTGCAGTGTAATACCCTTTTGTATCGCCCACAGATTCGGGCTAGTCAATTTAGAGACAATGAGTGTCAAAAATGACTTTTTGATGGAAGATTATTTAGAAGGAGTAATCTTAACCAAGTTATAGTATATATCACAAGGGTTCCATACATATAAAGAACGCCGAAATCCGAATTATAACGAAGAAGTTATGGGCCGTCGATGTTTTACTGCAAAACCGGCACGGCACCGCATAAGGTAAAAAGTGAATTTATGATAAACTACTTTTTAGCCTTAGAGATCTAAATGAAAGTTGTAGTATACGTCAAACCGAAAGCGTGCATAAAAAGAACGCTCAAATCTGACTTCGTATGAGGAAGTTATGATTTTTCTAAGATTTGGCATAGCAGTGTACAACCCGAAATTCGAATTTTAGATCGACCCATTTTTGGCCAATGCAACATAAATAAGAATTGAATATTTCATTAGTAGGATCTTGTCACACCCCCGAACCAGACGGCGGAAACGTCCGAGGGCTCGCGTGACTTAAATTGAAATATCATCACAATGAATATATATGAAACATAACACATGCATCACCAACCATTACATAGTACAACTGACATTGTTTACATCGAGTACAAGGTTTACATTACATGATTTCAAAATATAAAGTGTTTGGTGATTAGCAACTACAAAAGAAACTTTCAACACACCGGATGCTTCCTTGACTAACAATGACCTGAGAATACAAGTTATTTTGAAAACGGTAAACATATATAATGTTGATGAGTTCATAAGTGTGTTTGATGAAAAGTAGTTTATGTCATTGGTAAAACCCAGAAAATCCGATATTTTCTGTAATAAAACTTTCTTGAAAAATAGTGTGATGATCCTGTAAGTATAAGCGTGAATGATTTCAAAACATGAATAAATGAGAAGTTTTTGCATTATAATGTTTGAAAGTACAAGTGAGTAAGATTTATTTCCCCGGAAAACCCGATGTCTTCCGAATAAAAGTTATGATTGTTTTGCTTCATTAAATCGTTACATCGAATGAATATGATTTCCCTTGATTAATGATCTTCCTTTGATTAATGATTTCCCTTGATTAATGATTTCCTTTGATTAATGATTTCCCCTGATTAATGATGTCAGATTTCTACGTGAGTCGTTATAACCATGCATGATAATGACTAGTTCGTCTGTCTTAGTATTCTAATGAACATCGAATTTGATCTTAAGGCTTTGTCACCCTAGACTGGCCGAGTCTAACTGTAGCGAACAACTTAGGTGTGGGGGAGTCACACCCGTATAGATCTATACACAAACTCTCGCTCTCCCTCCAGGAGACTTTGATTACAACTACAAACTACAACCGACACTTATTGGTGTCACCTGTTATTACTCACTCAATCCACATGAGTTTGATTAACCTTGATTAATGATCGAATTTTATTTTATACAAAAAGAAGGTAAGACTAACAGACGAGGAGAAGAGGACTACTTGGCCCTACTAATTTCGTATGTTATATAAGGCTGTCGAGTATACGAAAAGCGCGTTGGCCCCTCTCGCATTTAATTTACTTGGACCTTACTAGTAATGCATAATGGGCCACTGAGGCCCAATAGCATGTAAAAACCATTGAGGGTCCATTAAACATGTAATTGGGTCACAGGAGGCCCAATAGACATGTGTTATCATTGTTAGGCCCGAAAGTCATGTGAATGGGCCACGAAGGCCCAATAAGCATGATTAGGATCTTTCAAGCCCAACAATTTGAATATTTACTTGTTTTAGGTATAGT